GAATAATTTTGTGTTATGAGATAAAAGAATTTTTCGGAAAAAAAAAAATAAAATACGAGAAGTGCAGTTAGGGGAGATTGGGGGAACGAGGGGTTCGTTGGCTCGGAGCCAGCCAGGATCGTGTATCGAATTTCACGTTTCCCACGATTATAAATCTCCAGCTGAAGAATCTGTGACAGCCGGTGAACGCGATGCAAAAGAACGAAATCGATCGTCTACCGAGGCATAGGCACAGAGAAGAGAAATAATGAAATATCACGAGTTTTCACGAAGTCGACAAACAAACAAGAATATTCATGAATTATATCCCGGACGTCTCTTACAAATACTGTGATAAATACTTGTACCGACAGAAACAGATAAATGAACGTAATCAAATACTAGACTAGAAATTTATTTATAAGTAACCGGAAAAAAAAAAAAAAATGGAATCTGTTACGAGTAGTTGGAGTAATGAAAGGTTTGACCTTCGTAGAACGAAGAGAGTAATTAAAAACGAATTGTCCGAGTTCTCGGAATTGTTTCGCAGCAAGCATATCAAATTCCACTGATGTTGAAATCGTTTGAAACACCGTCGAAGTGAACTTGTTGAATCAGAAGCAATGGAATTAAAATAGTACAAAGCCAATTAGAGGTAGAAATTCCTGAAGGAATTCCCACGAGACGTCTAAGGATGAAAGTGAGGAGTTATCCTGGGAGAGCAGTCCTGGAGGACCCGGAATTACTTCTGGACCCGGACGCGACTCGGGGAAAGGCCATGGAACTGCTGTACGAGGCTAGCTGGCGCGAATGCGGTGTAAACTGGACGAACAACGCTAGAAAGCCCGTGCATAACGGGAGACAGCCTTACTCAGCGGTGATAACCCAACTGGAGGGTGTCCTGAACTGTTCCGCGAGGGACGACGAGCTAGAATCGAGGAAATCGAGCAGCGTCGAGAGCAGCGACAGCGAGTCGTGCGAGGTGACGAGGAGCGCTAATGGTAACGACGGTAATCAAGGTGGATTCGTGATCCCGAGGCCGAGGCTGATCGTTCCGGTTCACACCTACGCGAGGAGACGAAGAACCGGGGCTCCGCCTCCGTCCAGAAGGCGGATAGCCAGAGAAGGTATTCTATAAAAACGGATCTTCACCCCTTTTATCACGGGTTAATTATTCCTCAAGTGTGAAACAAATCGAATCTTCTTGTATTGTAATAATTACACTGTATTCAGAAAAAATTGTATCTGTGGAAAATATGGAAAATTTGATTCAATTTTCCATAAAATGATAATTCCACGTGACAATGATCGAACAGAATGAATAGTATCCTAGTTCTTTTTGCACAAGTTCCTAGTTCACATTTAATCTAAACGCGATATCAAAATTAAATATTG